GTTCATCACAATCTATGAAGATCATACCATGTTTGTATGAAATCTGGACTCATCACCCAATAAGCATGACTCTTTTTCCACAATAATATTTAGTGTATTAGTTTTCATACCCAAGTGGAATCATGAGAAAATATGACCTTATGGCCTCACAACACCCAAAACAAATTTGGTGTGCAACAGTGGTCGGTCAGAAATTTTGTGTCTCATTGTTCGTCTATAACTCTTAGAAGACACATCAAAACTCATGAAAATTTACCTATGGAGTGTATCTTAAGGTGTTAGCTTTCAAAAGAGTCTAACCCCACCTTAAAACATGGTGATTTAGGGGTTCAACCATTTTTTACAAAATAAGTGTGCAATCTGTCCAAACTTGACAGATTTCCACATGCATGTTTAAACAACCATAACTCCCAAACTATACACCTAAATATGGTGATTGTTTTTGGAAAAGCTAGCCTTGTGTGTTAGATTTAAAACGATTCATGAACCACTAAAAAATAATAAGTATAACTCCTTCAAAATGGTGTAACTTAAAGAAAGGGTTTTCTGTTTTGAAACCTATAACCAGTGTTTTGGTAAAATTTGTTTGAGCCCTTCCACTCATCCAAAAATCTTGATTTTTGGTCATAATTATCCTAACTCAGTATACTAAAACTTATAAAAAAAATTAGAAAAATATACTTCTTGGATGAGGGTAAACCATGGACATTATTGAGACACAAAGATTTTGTCATCATGCATGATTTCCTAAAACCACTAAAGATTGGACTCTTAAACCCTATAATAAGCATATAAAATGCTTAAAACTTGGTTTTTATCTTAAGAACATAAAGAGGCATTTTATAAGACGTAAAGATAGAATAGTAACCTTAACCTTTAAGAGTTAAAACCGAACACTTTGACAACCGTTCGTTTTTATAGGGATTCACTAAAAGGACTATACCAAGGCGCACCCATTCGATCTCAACCATCTACACCATGAAAGGAAAGGTGATTATTCACGGCCCCTTTTTAAATCCATCGTTATTTGAGGGAAAAGCACGTATAAAAGTAGATGATTGTATGAAATATACAATGTGATTAAATCGTGAATACAAATTGATTATATGAAATATGCAATGAAATGAAATTGTGAATACGAGCACTAACACCTTGTACAGTAGTAAAAATTGTGTTTGGGTTAATTAAAAAGTCTCACTTGGTTACACTACTTATTAACTCATATGAGCCGATAGTTTAAGTGGATAGCGCTATTTGGATTGACAATCCCACCTTTTACTGACGAGTAGGGGTGCATTTAATCCATGTTGTTTAAACACCACCGCTGAGGTAGTTTGGTATAAAGGGCATAGTTGTCGCAGGTTTAGTTGTGGCCCAACACTTAAAATTTCTTGGAGTACATTGTGCCTCGTTAAAAGTGCTAAACGTATGAAAGTTGTTCTCGAGTAAGTAAAAGACTTACTCGAACTAAAAATTGCATAAGGAATTGTTGTACATTGAAAACCTATGAACTCACCAACTCTTGTAGTTGACATTTGTTTAAACGTGCTTTTTCAGGGGTAAAGAAGGTAAATGGTGGCATATAAAAGTAACCGCGTCTCAAACATCACCCCCGATTTTTTTTTATCATCGTCATAAGGTACAAACTTGTTGTTTGGGGTGTATTTGTGGAAATGTAAACTTTGACTAGTGATGTAATGTAATTATAATGTATGGTGGTGTTATTCATGCTCTATCGCTATGAGACTCTATCTGGCATACCTCGTGTTTCCGCTTTAGCGGGGTGTGACAGTTTTGGTATTAGAGCTGTAGGTTATAGAGAATAGCGGTTTTCTAAGAAAACCATACACTATAACCCAAAACTTTATAAAATAATTTTCTTAAAAGAGTCTCAAAAATTCAAAACATAACATACTACTAATATAACTAGAATGAGTGCCTTCTTAGCATACTCTAATTAGACAATGCCTGATCACCTATGTATAAGGAGAGACGTGGACCGGTTATGTTAGGTGTTCATCTAAAGTTAAGAACTTCTTACTCAAATAAGAAAAGCACGACTTGCATGTGTGGGTTTGCATAAACATTGCATCTTTTTGACATTTATTATGATTCGTTCAATAATTTAAATTTTGTTAAATACCGCAGCACTAGGTTGTCAACTAATGAATACTCGAACTCCGAAGAGTACGACCCCTCCGAGCATAGTTACGATAGTGGCGACGATGTCGCCGAGTCCCCGGCACGATCACCTACCCCCATGCCGCCCTGCTCTATGCCCGTGCATCTATTAGCGGCACATGGAGTTAGAGTTCGGGCTACCGCCCGAAAGAGCATTCCTCCGCCCGTAAGGGTGTCTTTCTCTGCCCCTTCCGGAGGTATGGGGGAGTCATCTCAATCGCACACCCATAGTGTGACGCCCCCACCTACTACCAGGGCCTCGTCGGAGCGCTCTTCGGGTATGACCACCTTATAGAACCTATGGGTTTTGGGCTTCGCCCAAGACCTAAAGATGTGTGAGCTTAGGATGGATCATCATCAACACTTCGCCGACGGGGTGATTATGACCCTAGGCACAGAAGGCGATGTGATGGATCGCTCGTTGGAGATGATTAACACCGCTAAGGGAGCGATTAGGAGGTTATATACCTACTTGGCGGTGTTAGCGGGAGTTTTGGCAATAATGATGGGACTACTTGTTTGGAATCTAATGCGCTAGAATACTCTATTTCACTAAGCTTTTGATAGATCAAACTTAGAATCTTTTTTTAAGGCATGTAGCCGTGACTTATGAACAATTTCTTTCTTTTGTTGCACGTCTTTATTTTCTTTACGAATGATATGGGTTTTTATTTTAGAATGGTTAAATTATGTTGATTAATGATTGAATGCCTTTATTATTACAAGTTATTATATATTGCCATGGATGCATGTTTAGATGACACTTGTGTTATGCCGTGCATAACTCAATAAAGTAGATACAGTGATAAACAGTAAAAATAACCAAACTTCGATTTAAAATTTGTGCTTTAGAAATATGCCTCCAAGAAGATAAGATCCCGAAATTGCGATACTTGTGTCCGAGCAAGTTCTTGCGGCCCTTCCTAATATAGTTAGCCAAGTAGCAGCAGGCTTGAACGCTAACCAATCAAACAACCAAGACACAACAGCAAATAAAGATTGTACATACAAAGGCTTTAGAGCTTGCAACCCAAAAGAATTCCATGGGACAGAAGGAGTCGTGGGATTACTTACTTGGATTGAAGGTATGGAGTCCGTTCTTCATATCAGCAAATGTGCTGAAGGGAGCAAAATGGAGTTTGCAGCTTGTTTACTGCAAGGACGAGCATTGACATGGTGAAACACCCAGAAACAAACCCGAGGCCGGGAATAACCAACATACTTACGTGGGAGGAATTCAAGAAATTACTCAAGGAAGAGTACTGTCCGAGGAGCGAGATCCAGAAGTTAGAAGCAGAACTGTGGAATCACCAAATGAAGGGAAGTGATGTAGACTCATACACTGCTCGCTTTTATGAGCTGGCAAAACTTGTGCCACACTTAGTATCACCCGAAGAGAACCGAATTGACCGTTATTTCTGGGGTTTAGCTCCAGAAATCCGAGGGAATGTGACTTCGGCCAATCCAAAAACACTTCAGGACGCTATGAACTTAGCGACAAAACTCACCAACAATGCTATTCGGTCAGGATCATTTGCAAATGATAAAGTCAAGGGTAAGACAAGAATGGAGGAGCCCGTGAGAAAGAACTACAGCGAGAGGGGCGGTAAGGCCCAAAAAGTGATAAGAAACTTTGGGGCTCATACACAGACAGCAGAAAAGGGCAAGGGAACGTACCCTAAGTATGATAAGTGCAATAATCACCATGGTGGGAGATGCATCATCTGTCTCAGATGCAACAAAGGAGGTCATTTCGCTAAAGATTGTAGGAGCAGAGACTGACGAACATGCCACGAGTGCGGAAGTCTAGATCACTTCAGGATTGCATGCCCGAGACTGAATCGAGGGCCAGTTACTAACCCAGCACGACCAATCAACCAAGGAAATCAAGGAGGCCAAGCACGAGGTCGAGCGTTTGAGATTGGGATAGAAGAAGCCAGGCAAGACCCGAACGTGGTCACAGGTACATTTCTCCTGAAGAATCATTACGCATCCGTATTATTTGATTCTGAAGCAAATAGGAGCTTCGTGTCACTAGAATTTAGACCAAAGATTAGTTTAAAGTCACAAAAGCTGAAAGAAGATTTTGTTATCGAGTTTGCTAATGGATAGGAAGTTAGGACTAAAGACATAATCACGAATTGTACCTTACGTTTAGCCGAACAAAACTTTAGCATAGACCTTATTCCAATCAGATTAGGAAGCTTTGATGTAGTTGTGGGTATGGATTGGCTATCCAAAATCGAGCCAAGATATGTTGTCTGAGAAGACTATCCTAATTTTAAAAGGAAGTGAAACGCTCATGGTGCACGGAGAGAAGTCCTAGAGAAATTTCAAGTTAGTGACATGTATGAAGATGCGGAAATACTTGAAAAAGGAATATGTCGCGTTTATGGCCCACATTGTGGATAAGGGAATCGAAGAGAAACACATCCAGGATTTTCCCATAGTTCGGAATTTTCTCGAGGTATTTCCTGATGAGCTGCCAGGATTACCCCCATTACAGCAAGTCGAATTCCACATTGACTTAATTCTTGGAGCAGCACCCGTGGCCAAATCACCTTATCGTTTGGCACCATCGGAAATGAAAGAATTGTCAGAACAACTTAAGGAGCTACTCAACAAAGGATTCATCAGACCCAGCTCTTCACCCTGGGGAGCTCTAGTACTATTTGTTAAAAAGAAAGACGGGTCTTTTCGGATGTGCATCGATTATAGGGAACTCAATAAGCTGACCATCAAGAACCGATATCCCCTTCCCCGAATCGATGACTTGTTCGACCAACTTCAAGGTGCCACATACTTCTCAAAGATCGATCTTTAATCCGGATACCATCAAATGAGGGTCCGTGAGGTAGATATTCTTAAGACGGCGTTCAAGACTTGTTATGGTCATTATATGTTCTTAGTTATGCCTTTTGGGTTAACTAACGTGCCGACAGTCTTCATGGATTTAATGAATAGAGTATGTAGGACATATTTGGATAAGTTCATGATTGTATTCATAGATAACATAGTGATCTATTCGCAAAACAAGGAGGAGCATGAGCAGCACTTAAAGTTGATACTTGAGCTGTTAAGGGATCAGAAATTGTATGCCAAGTTCTCCAAATACGAATTTTGGATTCATGAGGTGCACTTCCTTGGTCATGTGGTAAATGAGAAGGGAATTCATGTTGATCCAGCCAAAGTTGAGGCTATAAAGAAGTGGGAAGCCCCAAGGACCCCGACAAAAATTCGCCAATTTCTCGGCTTAGCAGGTTACTATCGCCGTTTTATTTCAAATTTCTCCAAGATCGCACAACCACTGACAACATTAACCCAGAAGGATAAGAAGTTTATGTGGGGAGAAAAGAAAGAAAAAGCGTTCCAATTTCTCAAGCATAAGCTATGTTATGCACCGATCTTAGCGCTACCAGATGGTACGGAGAATTTTGTGGTATACTGCGATGCGTCACACCAAGGCTTGGGATGTGTGCTGATGCAAAATGATAAGGCCATTGCTTATGCATCAAGGCAACTCAAGGTTCATGAAAAGAACTACACCACTCATGACTTGGAGCTTGGAGCAGTGGTGTTTGCACTCAAGATTTGGAGACATTATCTCTACGGCACCAAATGCACCATCTTCACTGATCACAAAAGCCTTCAACATATCCTAGACCAAAAGATGCTGAACATGAGGCAACGGAGATGGGTCAAACTTCTCAACGATTATGACTGTGAAATAAAGTACCACCCGGGGAAAGCTAACGTGGTAGTAGACGCATTAAGCCGGAAAGAAAGGGTAAAACCGTCAAGGGTACGAGCCATGTGGATGTTGATTCATACGAACCTAAAAATGCAAATTCTTGAAGCTCAAGAAGAGGCGTTGAAAACAGAGAATTTGAAGAACGAGACCCTACACCACTTAGAGAAGGAATTTGAAACTCGAGCAAATGGGGTGCGTTACTTCAGAGATAGAGTTTGGATACCAAAGGACGACAACCTTGGGTCAACAATTCTGGAGGAAGCACATCGCTCAGGATACTCAATTCACCCAGGAACCGATAAGATGTACAAAGAGCTAAGAGAGTATTACTGGTGGCCAAGAATGAAGAATGACGTTGCTTTGTACGTAAGCCGGTGCTTAACATGCGCAAGGGTAAAAGCTGAGCATCAGAAACCGTCTGGTCTTCTTCAGCAACCAGAGATTCCTCAATGGAAGTAGGATCATATATCAATGGATTTTGTTACTAAGTTACCTAGGACTAGGAAAGGACATGACTCAATTTGGGTCATAGTGGATCGGCTTACGAAATTCAAGCACTTTGTACCTATTTGAGAAGACTTCAGTACGGAAAGGCTTGCACAGTTATATATCAATGAGATCGTATCACGTCATGGAGTACCTATTTCTATCATCTTGGATAGAGATAGCCATTTTACTTCACGATTATGGCGATCAGTTCAAAAGGCACTAGGCAAGAGGTTGGACTTAAGCACTTCCTATCATCCTGAAACGGATGGGCAATCGGAAAGGACTATCCAAACACTAGAGGATATGTTACGAGCCTGTGTGATAGACTTTGGAGGTAGTTGGGATACTCATCTACCATTGGTTGAATTTTCCTACAACAATGGCTATCACACCAGTATCCAGTGTTGCACCGTACGAAGCCTTGTATGGGCGTAAATGTAGATCCCCGCTCAGCTGGTTAGAAATTGGTGACAGACAGCTGACTAAACCCGACATTATTGTTAGCTCTAATATTCACTTCTTGTAAAAGTATGAAAAAGTATTCTGCAAGTGTTGACAGAAGGGTAGCTTCCACAGAAGACAACAGAGGACTAGCAATAAAAGCTGTTTCATCGTGCAAGTAAAATGTGACAGAACCTCTGATGTCTCTCACAGAGGTTCTGGAAAATGGTCCTCTAGCAATAAGATCATACAAGTCAATTACAGCAGAGCCTGTATTTATGTCGCGTTACCGAGGTCCCCAAAGATTTCGGTCAGAGCAGGCATATGCCAAACGTGAATACCCCCCGAAGCTACGGGTAGAACACCTGGTAGAGAGACCCAATCCGAATGGATTAACCTTTCAAACTGTTGCTGAATCCATGGGCAGACAAATCGAAATATCTCATAATCAACCATTTCGAAATAAGGAAATTAGCTCATGAGCTTATTATCTCAGGTCGGAACAAGTTGATAGGATCCCCCTTTGGGATGGCTCACAGAGGGTTTGCGGATTTCGTCTTCTGTGAAGATCCTGTTCTACTGTTTTTCAAAGGTTGTTAGCTGTATGTGCTTCTGACTAGGACTTAATCGACTTTATTTGGATGGTTTAGATGATTTCACGCGTCAAGATCTTGTCAGTCAGGTCGTTAGGAACTAGTATAAATAGCGGCTAAGGCCTTTGTATTCAGTGTGCTTCCGAATTGTAATCGTCTTATTTTCAATTGAATGAATTGAAAAACCTTTGAAGCTATTCTCCTGTGTTCATCTTCTTCCTCATATTAACTGTGTGTTCTTGGTTTAATTACTCTGTTATGTTCTTATTATTGTTTTCGCTGCACTGTAATCGTCCTAGAGTTCATTCAGAGTAATATATCAATATCAAAGCTGAATTTACAGGTCCAACAATTGGTATCARAGCAKGAATTGAATTCTTATTCGATTAATTCTGTTTTTGGTATTAATCTGCATTTTCTAGAACACCAGTTTTCTTCAGATTACCCTGTTTCTTCAAATTTCAATGGCTAACTTGGTCAATACCTCATTCATGAGCACTGGATCTCAATCAAAGCCTCCTATGCTTATCATAGAGGAATATTCACAATGGAAAATGCGTATGATCAACTTCCTGGAGGGAATTCACCCTAGAATTTGTGAATTTCTCTATAATCTAACATTTGTGCCAATGAATTTGATTCCAAGAGTTCCAGAAATTGGTACAACTCCTGAAGTTCCTGAGCATTATGAGCCCAAACCAATCACAAACTGGAATGATGAAGAAAAGGTATTAGTTGAATTGGAAAGCAAATGCAAAAGGATGTTGATCATGGCTATACCACATGAGATCTTCAAATACATTGATCACTGTCATCTGTCTATGGACATTTGGGCAGAATTGGAGAAACAAATCGAAGTAGTGAAGAAGACTATCGAGAACAACAGAGCCATGTGTATTGATGAACATCATAGCCTTAAGGCTAAGGAGGATGAACCTCTGTTAGACACAGAGGATGAGATCTTCTGTGGAATAACAAATATTGACTCMGACTCCTCTTACTCAAGTGACCAAGAGGTTTCCACTTCTTACTCTTCTGAATCAATTGATAATTTTGATTCATGTCATTTGGAACRTKACAAGCTCAAAGAAAAACTTTCTCTTTGTGAAAAAGAAGTCATTCTTCTCACAGAGGAAAGAAACAGATTTTTTAAAATGTTCACAGAAGCTCAGTCAAACTTAGTTAATTTAGAAAAATCTTCAAATGAAAAGCTTGCCATAATTCAAAAAGAGTTGAAAAACAAGGTGGATGAGTTAAGGAAGTTAGAGCATGAGAAATGCAATGTTACTTCTGTCAAAGAATTCTTCCAAAAAGAAAGAGAATTTTTGCACCAAGACGT